GCTTCACCTAACAGTATATGTAGCAAGGTGGGTTTTTTTTGTCTGTTTGCTTATTTTGTTTTTATAATAAATAAAAAGAAAACAAGTAGAAAGAATAGAAAAAGAATAGGGAATGCTAGTGTTAGAGGGTCATTTTAAAATAAAAATAAAACAATTCAATAGAACAGAAAAAGAACAGATAACGCTAGTGTTAGAAGGTCATTATTTATAATAAATAAAAAGAAAATAAGTGGAAAGAATAGAGAATGCTAGTGTTAGAGGCTCTTTTTTTACACAGAGTGCGTGTGATTGCGAAATATTAGAATGAGTGGACACGGAAATCTCGGGAGCGAAACGACATTTTGGGCAATTAAGAAATCCCTGCCGGACGCATTTTTGTAGGTCCAAAAAGAGGACATGTCCGGGGAAAAGATTATTTATAATAAATAAAAAGAAAATAAGTGGAAAGAATAGAGAATGCTGAACACGAGTTCATGTCCTTTACACAGAGTGCGTGTGATTGCGAAATATTAGAATGAGTGGACACGGAAATCTCGGGAGCGAAACGACATTTTGGGCAATTAAGAAATCCCTGCCGGACGCATTTTTGTAGGTCCAAAAAGAGGACATGTCCGGGGAAAAGAGGACGTATGGTCACCCTAATTTATAATCTATTGCTAATCAATGTATTTTTTTTAAGGAGCATATGGAACATATATTCTGCCTCATTCTGTGACAAGAAGCCTCATCAGATCACAGAAGGAAGCATGTGGCTGGTGTTGTGGAGTAAAAAGGTTATAATGTTCTCTTTTGTTGGACAACAGGGTTAGAAATGTGAATACAAGGGAGGTTTAGCTTTAGGCATGTTAATTTAAGCATGTTTAGCTTAGTTAACGGAAGGCTACCTGCTGCCATCAGAGCAAGTGTAATTACTGCATTCACGCGCTCCTCGATGCTCTCGTTTCCCGAGTTCTGCTTTTAAGTCAGAATGTGGAAACAACATGGACACTCTCGTTACTACAAAGATGTGTTGGATTTGTATTATTAGAGCTTTCCGACTTGAGTTCACGTGCATTTTCTCAGTCGGGGAATTATTTTTCACGCGCGGTGCCGGTGATGATGCTTCTTACGTCTGTTTCGGAGAACCAGAGGACAAATATTTCAATCGATCGCTCAGGCATCAAAGTGAATTTGTTGCACATTGTAAGTGATCCTGAGATGATCGGAATACATTTGGAGAGTCTGAAAAGCGCTAAGCTGCACAAATGAACTGGACAACTGAACAAATGAGTGGCATTTTGTTCTACAAAATATAATCAATTGTGTTACTTTAAAAATAATGTGTTGCTATTACTAAACAGCAACTTTTCATTTCAAAGGCCAATATGAGAGATGTTTGGCTGGTTCAGTTGAGGTTTGCATATACACTCGTAGTTCTAAATTACAGCAAAGACCAAACAACAGACTTCAGTACTTTATAAATGTAAAAGAAAAGAGGAGCAGGACAGGCATATCATGTCCAGGGTACAGAATTTATTTCATGAGACAAAAAGGTCATGAACGCCTGAGGCGTATGGCATCTTTGTCTTCTTAAAGCAGGACAGACAGGTCGAGCTCACAGTAAATCACAAAAGGCCAAAATGAAAGCCACAAAAAGAAGAGTTATTCCACCTCCTTCCACCAATCACAGAGCTCATCATGTGATGGCGGTCACTTGAGAACAATTTAGAAGCGCCTGTTCTTAAATATCCACCAATATTACAGCAGGATGAAGGGAAAGATTCAAATAAGATTAGTGACAAACAGCTCAAGATTAAAACAAACAGCATAACCCTGTCATGATCGGCACAGCTCTACTCAAAACAACTCTAACAATATGATGGTGGTTTCACCTTATCCATTACTTCAGATTACACAATATGTCAAAAAGGACACATGTGCACATTATCTGTATGGTATTTGGCATCCAGAGAGCTCAAAGCATCCAAGAACCTGCAGTAGCGCTGATCTGTTTAACCCTGTAAAGCCTGGCTTATGAAATAACAAGTCAGAAAAAACACATTTTAATTGAACCTTTACTTTGCATAGGCTACATGTTCCGAAACCTTGGCGTGATCTTTGATGACCAGCTGACTTTCAAAGACCACATTGCAAAAACCGCTCAATCAGAAAGATCAGACCTTCCTAACGGAGCATGCTGCACAACTTCTTGTCCAGGCCCTTGTCATTTCTAGGCTACTGCAATGCTCTTCTGGCTGGACTTCCATCATGTGCATTCAAACCACTTCAAATGATTCAGAATGCAGCGGCACGACTGGTCTTCATCGAGCCCAAAAGGGCCACGTCACACCTCTCGTTATCTCCCTGCACTGGCTACCGGTTGTGGCTCGCATCAAGTTTAAGACATTGAGACCTGCGTATAGAACAGCCACAGGCTAAGCACCGTCCTACTTCCACTCACTCGTACGGATCTACATCCCCTCCAGAAGCCTGAGATCTACAAGTGAGCGACGCCTCGTGGTACCATCACAAAATCACTTTCCAGAACATTTTCGTTCACTGTTCCTGGCTGGTGAACGATCTTCCCACCCCCATCCGGAACGCTGAATCCCTGACAATTTCAACTCATCTCTTTCGTCAACATTTGACTGCATCCTAAAAAAAAAAATCAATAAATAAACTTTCTTTACTCTTTCCTTAATCCCTCCCTGTCTAGCTTGTACTAATCTGAACAATGTCTGAAACTTTGTATTACGAGCACTTCCAGTGTTCATTTGCCTCTTTATGATGAGTCGCTTGTCGTATTCCTCAATTGTAAGTCGCTTTGGATAAGTCTGCTAAATGAAAAAATGTAAATGTAAACGTAAGTATCAAATATGATACAGTAGTCTTTATAGGGTTAATCAGCCAACAGACAAAAATAGTACTAATATCCAGATCCAAACAGAGTCTGAAACCCATTTAGAAAAGGGTCAAAAGCGAGCAGAGCTGCTAAATGAAAAAATTTAAATGTAAACGTAAACGTAAGTATCAAATATGATACAGTAGTCTTTATAGGGTTAATCAGCCAACAGACAAAAATAGTACTAATATCCAGATCCAAACAGAGTCTGAAACCCATTTAGAAAAGGGTCAAAAGCGAGCAGAGAGGTAAACGGAGCATGATGGAAGCTGAAGGCAAAATATATAATAAAGAAACACACAGTGGGTGAAGGATGAGTAGGAATTTGTGAATCATAGGTTTTTTAATTCTGCGTACTGTACAAATTTCGTGTGGGCCTAATAATAGTACAAAGAAGATTTTGATGACCAACAGCACAGCCAACTCTGCTGCTGGGACTGGTTTTGTATATCGCATAATGTGTCTTATTATGCATATTATCTATACAGTATTTGGCATCGCGAGAGCTGTGCCGCTGTTTGTTTAATGAGCCAACAGACAATATTTCTCAACACCAAAAGACAGTAACGAAGCACAGACATTTCTCTTTTGCTCCAAGCAGGAATCCTCCAGCAGCATGCATGAAGAAATGATGTTTGAAAGTCTCTCCCTCTGAGGGGTTAATAGCTAACATGTGCTTTAAACTAGCACAAGCTCTCTCCCATAGCACCACTACACATTCCTGAAGAGTTTACAGGGTTAATGCATGAGCACGGGTAACTAGACCCTGAATGAGTTTTCTCACACATCTACCCTCAAACAAAGCTGTTTCTTACATCGTTGCACTAAGATGAAGGTAGAGCCACAGGAGGTCCTGGTGTGCCACATTCAACAGCAGAGAAGAAAACAACAGATGCCACAGCTGATAGTTCACAGCAACACTTTTTTTAGCCACTAATAAGTGCCGACAAGCACACCAAACAACACATTCAGAAAAATATACAGCGATGCCTTCAACAGGGAGAATCAGCAGACATGTGTTCTCCATCGTCCTCTTTCATATAACCATGTCTTCATGGAGTGGGAAGAGCACGGAAACAAAGGCTGATTTGTTCTGTAGCTCTAAACAAGGGTGAACTGCGAGAAAACAGCGAGGAAGCAGACTATGGTACATTTAACATCATCCAAACCCTCGTTTTCTAACCAAAATAAATTGGTCTCAATCTCAATCTAAAGGGAATAATTAGCAATCAACCTTTAAGGTTTTTCATTAACCGATTCAACATCTAGAGAACGGGGGTGGCTGATAAAACCAACAGATGATGGCCCGTTCACACCAAGAACATAACTACTTTAGCATCCACAACAACTTATGTTCTGGTTATTATATGTGCAAGATGAAGTTTGCCGGTTTAAATGCTGGAGCTCTTTAAAGTCGGGTGGTTTCTGATTGGCTGACAATGTTTTTAGAGTGGAAAAAACAATCGTTCCTCTGCGTCAACTCTACTATTTCCACAGAGCCAGAATAAATATTAAAACATTGAAGTTGTAGTTAACATCCTCGGTGCGAATGGGTCTTAACAATACAATGACGAGTAACCACTGCAATACTTATGGAAAATTCACAATGTTACAAAAAAGATGCACTAATCATTGGTAAGGCTGTTGGTTCGGTTTGACCACTTTTGCTATTATGACTCAGTCAAAGCTTGTAGTCTCAAATCTAGCAAATATCAACCAATTAAACAGTTTGGTCTACATATATACCGTATTGACCTGAATATAAGACGATGTTTTTTTCTTGGAAATACGTCTGAAAAAACGCGGTGGTCTTATATTCAGGGTCTAGACTTTGACATGTCAATAATACAATAATAGGTGGCGCCAAATACGCATAAAACCGTCTTATATTCGGGCCAATACGGTATATTGGTTTATTATTATAAATAATGTAAGAATACCTGCTACAGAGCAGCGGGAATCACTAACTTCACATTCAACTTCCCGCTGGACGTCTGAATTCAGTGTATGATGAATTATAGTTGAATCGGTGTACTATATTTCAGTTTCCAGTGAGCATGAAACCGCGGTAAGCGTGAGACCGCAGGCTCGTCCTGAAGGGTGCAAACCGTGTACGTAC